AAACGAAACCCTGATGCTACGGGAACTTCTCGACGACTACTTAGGATAGTTTTAGGGAACGAAACAGAGAGGAGCACCATCCTCAACAACGCGCTCAAAATCAACGATAAAAGATTAAAAATAAGGCCTGATTGGCCTTTAAAAGATAGAATCAAAAGAAGAGAAGCCGTGGCTGAACTAAAGGCTAGGCTAGAGAAAGGCGAAAAAGACCTCAAGCTATTGGGTTTTCGGGTGGTGGGGTCTCGGAAACCGATGCTGCCGAGACATCTCTTCGTAAGCCGAATGAACAAATAGGTGTTTCGGTGTGCTATACGAACGCATGTAGTCTTAGGAATTAGGAGAATTATCTGAAAGACTACAACCTGATGTGATTGCTACCACTGAGACATAGTTATCAGTGGGGGCAGACTTAACTCCACTCATACCTGGGTACATCTGCATTCGAGCAGACAGAGTAAGTAGTCGGGAAGGTGGGGGGTCGCTCTATACATCCGGAATGACAGGGATTGGGTCAACATTGTCAGAAGCTCATGACAGCGGCACCAGTGAAGCCGCAAGTTGCGTCATTAACTTGAACAAAGGCACTTTGACGATCGGAGTTATTTACAAAGAACACTTTGAGGAACAATTTAACTTGCCTACAGCCACACTGAACCTCCCCGCCATCCACCACGTACCCGAATGGGATATAGACACTGGTCCGCCGTCTGTAGGTGAGGTTACAAAAGCTATCAGTAATTTGAAACGAGGCAAAGCGGTAGGACCCGACGGAATTATTCCGGAGGTGTTTAAATATGGGGGTGACATACTAGTTTGTAGATTAACTGAGGTACTAGGCAAAGTCTGGGAATCAGAGACAGTACCATCAGACTGGGGTAAGTCACTTATTATACCGATATTCAAGAAGGGAAACAAGTCCTTGTGTGATAATCATAGGGGGATCAGCCTAACGAACATAGTCTCTAAAATCCTAGGCTCAGTAATCATGCATAGACTAAGCAGAACTCGGGAGGAACAGACAAGGGAAAATCAAGCAGGCTTTAGACCAGGTAGAGGGTGCATAGATCATATCTTCACTCTTCGACAGATTCTAGAACATAGACACACTTTTCGGCGTCCAACAATTGTCATATTTCTTGACTTGAAGGCGGCCTTCGACTCCGTGGACCGAAAGGTACTATGGCAATGTCTGACTGTGAAGGGAGTGCCAAGAAAGTACATTGCACTAATCAAGGCACTCTATTCAAACTCACGTAGTCGTGTAGGGGCTTATGGGGAATTGTCATCTGAATTGGTAACAACCAGTGGTGTCCGACAGGGATGTCCACTTTCCCCATTTCTGTTTAACTTCATCATAGATATGCTAATGGAAGTATCCTTAACTGAACGTAGTGACTTAGGAATCGACTTGTTACCAGGGAATAGTCTAATGGACTTAGAATATGCAGATGACATAGTCCTGTTAGGGGAGGATGCTGAAAAAATGCAGAGTCTTCTGAACACCTTGAGCAGCAATCTTCGTATGTTTGGCATGCGATTCGCCCCTGCAAAATGTAAGATGCTGCTACAGGACTGGACGACGTCAACCCCTAACTTAGTGATAGGAAGTGAAGTGATAGAACATGTTGACCACTTCACCTACTTGGGAAGTTGTATTAGCACCAGCGGACTGATTGGCGACGAAATCTCAGCACGGATCCGAAAAGCTCGAGCTGCTTTCGCTGACTTACACCATCTCTGGCGTAGGCGTGACATCCGGTTATCAACCAAGGGACGTGTGTACTGCTCATCAGTTCGCTCCGTCCTTCTCTATGGCTCTGAAACATGGCCAATACGCGTTGAAGACATGAAAAGGTTGACTGCTTTCGATCATAGATGTCTGCGATCTCTGTCTCACGTTAGGTGGTTTCACAAGATAAGTAATGTTGACGTTAGGCGTAGAGTGTTGGGCAAACAGGGAAAATCAATCGACGAGGCTATAAAGTTACATAGAATAAGATGGCTAGGTCACGTGCTGCGCATGCCTAACCATCGCCTCCCCCGACGGGCATTACTAGCTGATATAGGTTCAGGTTAGAAAAGAGCCAGTGGTGGCCAAACAAAAACATGGCATCAATCCATGAAATCCTTGACAGTTAAACTGAGTCAGGTAGGGAGATGCAGACTCCCGGGTTGGGGCCCTCGGGACTCTAGGAATCAATGGCTGGAGACAATAGGTGACATGGCTCAAAATCGTTGTCAATGGCGCAGATGTATTCAGTCTCTGTAATCTTTCATATTCCTTTCTACCATTACCCATTCTGTTTCACTCTTATATTTGTCAAACTCTATTAATTCTCTTCACTCATCTTCTTGTCTACCTCTGTGTGCTATTTGGAAGGTGGCAACTCGAACTGCTGCACTTCGGTGCCAAGTTCTATGTTGAATCCAGACAGAGACAGGAGTTATTTACAGAAGTCCTGCTAGCCAAGCTGATGACTTCGTTCTAAATCAATTGAGGGCGTGGGTTAGTAGAAATAGGTGTCTGGTTGTTGCTGACTTTAATGCCCCACATATTAATTGGGGGGAATTAAACTCCACTAGTTTGGATACCTGTTTCAATAGGGAGCTCACACTGACAGTGCTTGAATGTGCACTCGTGCAACATATGCATGCACCAACACGATATCACCCGGAACATGATTCGTCTACTCTAGACTTGGTATTAACACACCAGAAGGGGGATGGTGGTAAAATTAGGTGCCTTCCGCCGCTTGGCAGCAGTGACCACGTAGTCATTACTTTTACGTTTAAGATTCATTCACTCACATACAGGTCAAAATCTGCTCGTCCAAACATTTGGAAGGCGGATATACAGGGAATCCGGAACGCAGCAATTGCAGTTGACTGGTCAGTTGATACAAGTAGCAGTGTCGAGGAAGCTTGGGTGAGATTTAGGAATACACTAGATTGTGTCACTTCACCTTTTATACCTTGGTACACTCCTCGAAAGCTATTGCATAAGCCACCTTGGATTACTAGTGAAATAAGGAGGCTAATAGACGGAGGAAGAAATTATGGGACCAATTTATTATGACAGGAAGGGAAAATTTCCAGAAAGAATACCGCAAAATTCAAAATCTCTGTATGTGATCAACAAGAGTCATATACAGTACGAGAGACAACTAGTACTAGATTGTGCTCATTACCCAAAAATGCTATACTCGTATATTAAACGTAGGACTAAAACTAGCAGTGGTATACCGTCACTCATAAGCATTAGTGGAGAAGCGGCTGAGTCAGACGAAGGAAAGGCTGAAAACCTCTCTGAATACTTCTGTGACGTCTTCTCGTCTGATCGTATCACCCAGGGATATGGCGAGGTCACTGCCATCGCTACTCGTGCCTTCAATTGTGGTAGAGCACACAAAGGTCCTCAAACTACTGTCTAGACTGAAGCCGGGTAATTCACCTGGGCCTGATGGACTTCACCTTAAACTGTTAATTTCCTTGGCGGATATAATATATATTCCACTTACGGAGATTTTCTAAATGCCTCTGACCTGGGCTAAGCAACCCAGGGACTGGAATGATGCCATTATAAGCTTTATCTTCAAAGAGAGGGACAGGCAATTGGTATCTAACTATCGGCCGGTAAGTCTGACATGCACTATAGCAAAGGTATTGGAAACTATTATAAGCTATTAGCTTGTATTGAAAAACATGTCTTGCTGGCTGTGGAACAGCATGGATTCCGACCAGGACGATCCTGCCTGACAAACCTACTACTGGCTATGGAAGACTGGGTTGAGGCCAGAGATAAAAACCTTCTGTTGGATGTGGTTTTTATCGATCTTAGCAAGGCATTCGATAATGTATCCCACTTAGGTCTCCATAGTAAACTTGAAGGTTTCGGACTAAACCAATGCCTATGTGAGTGGTTTAGGAATTAACTAATGGATAGAGGGCATAAGGTTACAGTTGACGGTGTACTATCAGGGTGGAAAGCAGTATCCAATGGAGTGCCTCAGGGAACTGTATTAGGCCCCTTGCCATTCCTATTATACGTCGATGAACTACCGGGGATTCTTACTTCATCTTCATTATTATTTGCGGACGACATTTAGATCTGGAAAACTGTATATAATAACGAGGATAGGTCGGCCCTACAAACTGATCTAGATAAATTAGCTGAGCGGTCAAACCTGTGGAGTTTGGAAATTAATTCTAGGAAAAGCGCGATAATGCACTTAGGTTAGAAGTCTTATACGTCGTACTCCCCAGGGGACACAGAACTACTTGATATTAACGGACAGAAGGACCTAGGAATCATTGTCAGCAATGATTTGAAAACAACTGCAAATTGCAATGCAGCCGCAGCTAAGGCTTTTCGAATGCTATGGGCACTTCGAAGGGCTTTCAAACGTGCGTCGGTGGCACAGTGGTTAGAACTCTCACCGACCATGCACACGGTTTGACGTTTGAGCCCCCACCGACGCACACCTGATATCTATGGTCGGCCTGCAAAATTTGGGCTACCGATATCCATGCTGAAAATTCCATGCTTGTACCAAAAATACGGTGTGGAATCAAGCTGTAATCAAAAATAAAATAAAGATTAGACGAGGGCATGTTCCAAATACTCTACACAAGATATGTCAGGCGTCATCTAGAATAATGCATACAAGCGGTGAGTCCATGCTTCAAAAAGGAGGCACATATCGTGGAAAGAGTACAGAGAGTAGGAACGAAATTTGTTAGTGGTATCTCACACCTTCCTTATGATAAGAGGATGGAGCACTTAAATCTCTTCCTGTTACCATACCGAAGGAAGAGAGGCGATTTAATTTTAGCATACCGTATACTCAAGGGTGATTTAGGAACTAACTTTCCTAAATTTTTCTCCCCTTCTAGGATACATTTACGAGGTCACCACAAGAAGGTGCTCAAACCGAGGACGATTAAAATACGTGCAGAATTTAGATTCTCTCACAGAATGGTTAACGACTGGAACTCCTTACCTGATTCAGTAGTATCAGCTCCATCGGTGAACGCTTTCAAAGAGAAGTTAGATTTCTGCAGAAATATATTTTGCAACGACTAACACAGGCCACAAGAGCCTTCTATTCCTATCATCTGAATATGAAGCTTAAAAAGATTCTGTTGAGAGTCACCCAAAAATGAAGATAAGCGCAGTGGATGATTCAATAAACACGACGATTTACAGTTATCTAGGCAAATTTATATACACAAATTGGTTTAACCTGACTATGAGGACTCCCATGAGAATTTTTCTGGGATCATATCCAAGTGCGCAATTTAAAATAAACGTCTATACACAAGAAGCGCAATACTAAAAAAGGCTACATAGGATGGTATTCTAACATTTTCCAAAGAAACCGCGGTGACTCTAAAGAATAGCGGCCCAAACCGAAACGACCTTCGAACAAAAAAGTGACCTTGAGCAAGGAATCAGCTGACTGTATCATTTTCGGAAGTAATCATGGATGTTTTCGATTACTGTTTGGATAACGGACTCATAGCTTTGTCGAAAATTTGCCAGTGCGGAGGAGTTATGCATATACAAATATAAGCAGAGGCCATCGATGGCTTTGTATACAGATGTATTGAGTGCCGAAGGAGGAAATCGATTCGAGATGGTTTGTCGTTGTTTTTTAGTTTACAGATCCCTTAGGAACTTTTTTCTCTAGGTCTAAACTACCGTTAACGAAAATCTTAATGATATGTAACTTCTGGGTCCTCAAAAGACCAGTTACAGCTACGGCTTACGAAACAGAAAATTCAGAGGTGTCGGCAGTGCAGTGGTACAATTACTGCAGAGATGTTTCCTCGTGGAAAATGAACAGTCTGACTCAAGTTCTTGGAGGAGTCGGTGTAATCGTACATATTGATGAAACTGTATTGATAAAAAGGAAATATAACCGGGGGAGATTACAATCCAACCAGCAGTGGATATTGGGTATATACGACACAACACTACGAAAAGGGTATATAGAGGCGATTCCAAATCGCAGTGCAGGTGTATTATTGCCTATTAATCAGCGTTTGGTGCTGCCTGGGACGACTATTCACACAGATGAATTGAGTGCCTACCGTCAATTATCCAATCATGGGTATATTCATCATGTCGTCAATCACACGGAGGGTTTCAGGAATCCTGTGGATGGAACGCACACTAATTCCATCGAAAGTTTATGGAGTCGTCTGAAAAGACGGATAAGAGCTGTTAATGGATCAAGAAATCCAATGATTTACAGTTATCTAGATTAATTTATGTATAGAAACTGGTTTAATATGACAATGAAGACTCCTATGAGAAACTGGGAGGTTTTTTTGCAACATATACACGAACGTTATCCTTTGTAACTATTTATTATGACTGCATTACTTATATATAAACCGTTTTTTACAATTATGCGCCTTTCATTTTGAGCCTTCTCATTGGTCGAAGTTGTCCCTGTCAAGGTCATTTTTGCGTTGAAAGGTCGTTTCGGTTTGGGCCGCTATTCTTTAGAGTCACCGAAACCGCCCAATTTCTCACGGGAGTCCTCATAGCCAGGTTAAACCAATTTCTGTAAATACATTTGGCTGCTATGTTTAGAGTCACCGGAATTTTTATTTCTCTGGAGCATTTTGCCATGAAAAAACACAACTCCAAACAGGAAAAAAACAACTTACCTTGAGGGCATTTGTGACGCACTCTTTCAATTTGGACGCGTCAAATCCAATATCCTGATTACAAGCTAGTATAAACCAGTGATTTCTTTGAGCTCGCTTCTTGATCGTGAGGTAGAGGTTCCAGATCTTCGGTGAGCTTCTGTGTAGTAAGTCCCGACTGCTTTAGCTCTGGTAGACTCTAAGAGGAGTGGTGCGGGGATTGGTCAAGATGTGGTTTGTAGTATGCAGTATGTTAGGACTGTGTTGCTGCCGTGAATGGAATTTTACCTAACTCCCGCTGGTCATTCGGTGTAGTCATAAAAGCAGAATAATAGTAATAATATGTTGTAGTGTAGATAATATGGGTTGAGATAAGTGAAATAATAAAGGTGACCTAAGGAAAAGATAGAGTAGTCGATAAAGTGAGAGAAGGCAGAACAGGTCGTGGGGATTTAGTTTGTATGCTTATCCATTGACAGTGTGGTTTTAAGTTTTATGAGGATAAGTCATTGAGACACAAACCTTGCATTTCTTCATGATTGTCTAGCTTCCGCTTAAAAATCTCCAAGGTGAAAAGTAAATTTACCTGAGATAGCATGCTTGTGATTTCTACTTATCGTAATAAACGAAGATGGTAGTAATTGTAACTATATTATTCGATATGTGTAACTGAGTGTAACTACGGTTATTGTAATAATAGTAAAAGAATGCCTAGGTTTCAACGAGACGGAGGCTAGTACAATAAAATCTATTCGTTTAACCGTTTCAACAACAATTTCCGTAAGTTAGAATTGTTATGTTCTAGTTTCCCCGTCGCCAAATTGTTATGTACTAGTTTTCCCCGTCGCCAAATTGTTATGTTCTAGTTTCCCCGTCGCCAAATTGTTATGTACTAGTTTTCCCCGTCGCCAAATTGTTATGTACTCGTCGCTAAATTATTGTTATGGACTGGTCGAGAAACTAATAGTCCTGACGCGAGAAGGCGGAAATCAGAAGACCACTAGGTTTGCGATGATACTTCTATTGTCCAAACACAAGGAGACGAAAATAAATGGTCTCACACCAAAGTGGTAAGTAAGTAAAGTAGTTGTAAAGTAAAGTAGTTCACACAAATTGTAAATGCGAATATATATATAAATAATTCAGACAAGCGTGGGAAAAGTCATTTGACAGTCTTAACATGAATGGCTAATTATAATGGAGTGTCGATCCAATTATACATAGCGAATATAGCAGACATGCCAACAAACATATATGGATATATGTCACCAAGCAACGGACTGTCAACAAACACTCATATTATATATAATATAATATAAGGAGAATACACATTATTAAAGGAGACAAGTCCATACAAGTGAAGTGGTCACAGACTAACCGAGCAAACAGAAAGAGAGACCAACATGCACACACACACATAAATATATATATGTGGATACATATCAAGAATGAAGAAGAGTTTTTTATAGGAAAATTTATTTGCAATTATCTTTAAAAATATGTACAGAGATCAGTCCGAGCCTGACGATGTAGATGCCTGAACATCCGCTTGTCCACCAGCTTCAAGCAGATAATTGTATACGCAAAGAAACGCACTTCTACATATCCTACGATGCGTCTGTTTAAGGTTTCTGATTTGATATATTATTCCTCGTATGAGCAACTCCACGTCCAAGTCCACCGCTGTGGTCGATTGTGATTGGATGATAGTGTGGTTGTAATATCGCGATCACCTAGTACTATGTCTAAATACATCTTTTACAAAATAACTGTGGGCCTATATGAGCCTACCCAGACGTGTATATATATGACATTCGGTACGAACTAGAAGACGGCATGGCAAAAGCATATTTTTGTTTTGAAAATATTTGCAGCTGCAGTCATGTTTGACCACAACGAAGTACCTTACACCTTCTTCGAATACCACGTATGCTTCTGTGCCATCGGTGACTTTCATTTCCGGATGCCTCCTGATGCTTTTGTAAAGTGAGTAGGCGGCATAGCTTGTAAGCTGCCTCAAAATGCTGGAAAGGCCTTCGTTCACCTAAAAAATTTCAAGTTACAACTATTGGACTTACGTTAAAATGAATGTAGTAATACAGGTTGCGATTTCCTTCAACAGGCTTTCTTCTCGATGACTCTATGGAACACTTCCATATCTCACGAATGCTCAATTCTAACGGGAAGCACTTGCCTAGATGTGTCTTCAGGTGTTTATGGCAGCACTCAACTCTGTTATTCGTTTTGTTGCCAAGAGTGACAGCGTCTTTCATATAACAGGCTGCCCACATATCACGACAACCCCATAAGTTGTTATTTATGTACGACACGGCTGCAGGATACTCCAACCCTATTGAATTCACTAACTCACTAAACTTAGAGAAGTCTTAGCACAACACCTGCCGTTACTCGTTGTATACACCATCTCTTTAAACATCTTTTTACAATTAGGATCACGGAATTTAAGGACGCTAGGTCAGTAGTAATGTCCCTTACTTTGTTACTGAAGGCCTGGATGACATGAAATGCACATAATATGATGGAGCAGGCAGGGAACTCATTACGAATCGCACGTTGCTCTGCATGACTATTGTCAATTACAAACGTGACAGTCTGCGATGTATCAACCATGACATTCTTAAAGGACTGTAATACTGCTTCAACGTCAACAAGTCTTTCACGATGAGTTGTACTGTACATGACTGGACAACTTCTGTTCATACCATCTCTAACGACCAGTTGATATAGAGGATGACTGCAAGAGATTCGTTTAACATGAAAATATTACCCTTCCTTATTTGTATTGTAGGTTGAATCCATGCCCACAACCTCTGGAAATTTCCTATACAAACTTATCATTTCCCTGGTTGCGAAACTAAACTTTTCCACACATCGTCGACCGTCCATCACGCACCATACTGAACCTGTGTCACAAACTTCACGGATCAGTGTGCCAATGTCTCGCATTCCTATACAGGCTGTTAAGGCAATATGATAATTTACTAGGGTAGACTAGTTACCGAAAACTCCGATAATCATCTCAAGTCATCAGCTTTCCAAACTCAACATCAACCATATTTATAACTTGTGCGGGGGGGGCGTTTCTTTCTACAAGAGGTAGTAATTTGGATTTTTCTTCCAAACTAAGTCTCCGAACTCTCGGCTAAACAGGCAATAGCAGTTCTCTTGACAATGCACGGTTGTGTCGAGTATTGACAGGTTCGACCACTTTATATAGTCCGAATTCCAGCTTAAATCTGAAACTTGATGGACACCATATATACTTAGATCTTAAACATATAGCTTAGGTACTTCACAGTACTCACTGTGAGATTCTCAGGTGCTTGATTTCTGATCGTTGACCTCGACCAACATGGCACGAAAATGCAACATACAAAACGCAAAATTCGAAATCTCTCTAAGTATGCAATTAACAGGAGTCGTGTGGAGTACGAGAGACGGCTAGTACTATATTGCGTTCATTACCCAGAAACACCTTAGTTTGTATGCTTATCCATTGACAGTGTGGTTTTAAGTTTTATGAGGATAAGTCATTGAGACACAAACCTTGCATTTCTGCATGATTGTCTAGCTTCCGCTTAAAAATCTCCACAGATGGCGCTGTAGACACGGCTGCCGGTAAAGCGTTCCAGAGACGGTAAACTCGAAGTGAAAAGAAATCTGATCGCACTCGAGTCCTTGGTCTCTGGTGTGCTATCCTTAGCGGGTTACCTCGTGGAAGCCTATAATCACTTCATGGCAGGGTGCTTTTATTTGGTTGGGCCTGGTCATTTAAGATCTGGTAGACGGTAATGAGGTCTCCCCTGTGTCTACGGTAACTAAGTGTGGGAAGACCTAATTTCTTTAGTCTTTCCTCGTATGATTTGTTGCGGAGGTCGATCACCCATTTTGTCGCTCGTCTCCGGGCACTTTCTAGAGTGTTAGCATCCCTCTGGAGTAGCGCAGGAGCAATGATATTATGCACCTCAAGGTGTGGCCTCACATATGTCTTATATAGCCTTAAGAACAGTTCGGGAGTAAGAGCCCCCAGCTGCCTATGCATAAAGTGTAAAGTTGCGTAGGCTTTGGCGACGTCCCTCGCGTAATTTCCACTGGTGTCTAACTTTTCTGTTAGAATAAGACCTAGATCGCGCTCTGATGGAACACAACTCAAGTTCTGGCCACCAAGGGTGTAATTTACACTCTGTGACCTGCCGGAATGAAGTTGCTCTACTTTGCACTTCTTTAGGTTGAAAGGCATTCCGTTAGCCGGGGCCCAGTCTCCCAGAGTTTGCAGGTCAGCTTGCAATCTATCTGAGTCTTCCGATGAGTTTATTGCTCTCCAAATCTTTACGTCGTCAGCGTAAAGAAGCGCAGAGCAGTTCAGTCGGGAGGGCAGGTCGTTGATAAAAATCAAAAACATCAACGGCCCTAGGATAGAACCCTGAGGAACCCCCGATGCTGAGGTGTGCCAGGATGATCGGATGTGGTTGACTTTGGCGCAGAATTTTTCTCGCCTAAGCAATCTTTCAGCCATGCGAGAAGTGCTCCAGAAACACCCGCCTTGTT